AATAATGCATGACAAGTTACAACACAAAATGGTGTCTACACTATCAAAAGTATCAGTGAAGTTCTCTTTAGTGTTCACACTATCACACGAATTTAAACGCAAGAATATAAGAGTGAAAACTTTTAGACCATCTCCAAAGGTAAAAGACTCAAACCCGAAATTTCACCTCCAGAAATACAACTTTTCATCTATACATAGGACTCAAACTGTTTTTTTTTTGGGGGGGAGAGGATGGCAGGCCTTGTTGTGGCTTCACCCCTGTGCAAGTGGGCAATAGTATTATTCCAGAATATGGACCGGTGTATCTACAGTAACGGCGCGTGGAGTTTTATGTTATCTTGGACTCCCGTGTACCTTCAAATGTGAAGGCCTCAAAATAGTAGGAGTTCAAATTTGAGTGATTAGAAAAGATGAGATTGCTATGTCATGTGCAATATATTTTAAAATATATGATATAGCAATACAATTACTGCAATTAGATTACTGCTGGCCCTCTCGGAAAATGAAAAACCTATGTGTAAGTGATTTTGTAATTTTGGCCCCCTCCATGCTAAGAATCCTAGCTCCGCCACTGCACTTACATATTACATTTCGTGTTCTTAAGAAATCTACATATTATATTCAAGAATCAAGCTCAATCGCATAATAGTAAGAAAAGGAAAAGACTCAATATTTAGAGCACACTTGGAGCCCTAAGTGGTGTGCTCTCCAAGAGCATAGCATTTCAGGGCATGATCAAGCTGATCATCTAGTTTCATACAGGACTTGCACTCTTGCTTGTTTGAAGCCAAAAGAGAATTCTTATTAGGATAGGCACGATTCATATTTACATGGTTAAGAGCACAATAGAAAACGAGGGTGCATTTGTCGTTAACATCTTCATCCAAAAGGTCTTGCGTGACGCTGAGATAAACATAAATGTAATGGGAATTGAGATGGTTGAAGTTGGAGGTCTAAGGAAGTACACACATGTCCTGTTGTTTCAAGCTTCCGACTTGAAAATGCGAATGACTGCATATTGGAATATTGTGCTGAGAAGGTTGATTGATATCATGGGTTTGCGTTTGCAGCTGAGTGTCTCAAACCTTGTGAACAAGGGCCTGGAGATGGAGATTGTGAATGAGCTACCGAGACCTAACCATATTGGTGGGATTGAGCGGATGCTGGAGGAACCTCCATCAATGGGCAGTGAAGCGCCAGAAGCTCATCAAGAGCATCAAAAAGCTCAAGGAGTCTAAAGAGGTTGTGTGTAAGATCATGGACGACAGGTTTACTTACGCCGATTATCTTGTGTGATAGATAACTAAGGGGTCCAGTTAAATTATAGTATGTTTCGTGTGAAAGAAGGCATTTTGCGAATGATGTGTGGTTGATCTGTTTGTACTTAATTATGGATCTGCATTTTGTTTATCATGTACCTGGTTGGTTGATGTTCTTGTGTGGATGATCTGTTTCTACTTAATTATAAGCACATTCTGTTTTTGTCTTTTGGGTTGCTAAACCTTACCAGGCTTGTTCCTGGAATAGGAGGAAATTTCTATACTCTGTTCCTTCTCTTATTTCATGACACTGTGGGTGATGGTAGAAACACCTTCCCTTGTCATGATCACAATTTGAACCCTTTTTGGGGCTTTTCTCTTTGAGTTGGGACCCTTGTTAGTCTTCCATGTGGTCAATGGGAATCTATTGGCATTTGCTTTTGCCACTCTCAATGGGAATAATTAATCACTTCCCAATGGAGCTCTGGCCTTCTAGGCACTTGTTCTTTAGAATGTTAGATTCAATTAAAATGGACATGAATCCTAATCAGTGATTGGTGAGCTTAAAATATATCATGGACTGGATATGGGTATTGGACACTAATACAGAATAAAAGCGACTCCATAACCCATCACCAGACATGGGTTTATAACAAAGTCGTCGTCTCTTTTTGAAAAGAAAGTCGTCTTCTCTGGTTTGCCTTATTTGTCATCTTTTATTTTCCTCCTTCTCCTCTCTCCTCTCTTCTATTCTCTCTCTATCTCCTATCTTTTCTCTCTTATCTCTCTCCCTCCTCTCTCTCTCTCTCTCTCTCTCTCTCTCTCTCTCTCTTTTTTATTTGGCTCATACAAGCTTCAAATATATATATATATATATATATATAGAGCTTCCATTGAGGGATCCCTCAAATAAGCTTATTTGAGGGACACCCCTTGTAGGGCCTACTCCGGATTGTATTTCACTAATCCATACCTTCTATTTTGTAGATACTCATTCAAAGATCATCTCTACAAAAAATCACTTGAATCCGATATTATTTGACCATTCAATTGAGTTATTGAAATTTTAGTACTTTCTTGAAGCACCGTGTT